TGTTCGCCTCCACCCCCAGGACAAACCGTGGATAACACCTGCTATCAAAGCGCTAATCCACCGACGACAACAGGCTTTCGTTAAAGGAGACACAGAGTCATGGAAACACCTTAGAAACAAAGTCCAACGTGCGATCTCGGCAGCCAAAGCGACACATTTCAATACGAAGGTCAAAGCCCTTAAGAAAGAGGACGCTGCTCTATGGCACCAGCAAATCAAATCTATGGCTAACTCAAGAACAGCGGAAGCCGTTATCCACGTGACTGATCTAGCCCCCAGTGACACTAAAGGCATAGCCAATGCAATAAACTGCTCCCTATCTTCTGTTACAAACTCACTGCCGCCACTGGATCCGTCATGTCTTCCTACTTACCTGCCTTCCCTTCCGCCGCCGGCTGTACAGCCCTGGGAGATGTACCAGAAGTTGTTGAAAGTGAAAACCCGGAAAGCGGCTGGACCAGACTCGATCCCAGGCAAGATTATTAAAGAATTTGCATATGAACTGAGCGGTCCACTCGCGGACATTCTCAACACGTCACTCAAACAAAGCATCGTCCCCGAGGAGTGGAAGTCTGCTATCGTCGTCCCTATCCCCAAAACCAAGCCTCCTTCCATTAACGAGCTTCGACCTATCTCCTTAACATCGTTGTTGGGCAAAGTCGCGGAAAGTTTTATCGCACAGTGGGTCATCTCGGACATCTTACCCCAAATTGACTCTAAACAATTCGGATGTTTAAAGGGCAAATCTACTACACATTGCCTCCTCGACCTGACCAATGAAATCTTCAAGGCTACAGACAAACCAGGAATGTTGTGCTCGCTGGTATCAACTGACTATAGTAAAGCGTTCGATCGCGTTAACCATAATGTAGCCATTCAACGCCTAATCGAGCTCGGTCTGAGGCCTTCCCTCACCAGCTGGGTTGTGGACTTCCTCAGGGACAGAAGTCAAGTCTCTCTCTGAGAGCATGACTGTAGCCTGTGGTCTACCGCAAGGAACTCTTCTTGGACCTTTACTATTCATTGCGTACATCAACAGTGCCGCAGCCCTAGCCGCTTCTAAGCGCTGGAAGTTTGTTGACGATTTAAACCTTCTCGAAGCTAGAAATCCAATCTCAATGCCTTCCAGTTTACAACAAGACTTAACTGATCTGGATACGTGGTCACACAAAAGCGACATGGTGTTACACCCGCGTAAGTGCAAAGTCCTACACGTCCACTTTTCCAAGACATTGTACATACCCCCACCACTTAAGATAAACAACATAGAACTTGAACAGGTTAATGTAATGAAGATTTTGGGACTGTACCTCCAGTCTGACTTGAAATGGAACACCCACATTGATTCCATCTGTAACAAGGCGAACCAGCGTCTATACCTACTTCGTAACTTAAAGCACTTCCGCGTTCCAGCTGTTGACCTCGTTACAGTGTACACCTGTTACATCCGCCCGGTACTGGAGTACGCGGCCCCAGTGTGGCATCCTGGACTGACCACTAAACTCTGTAGGAGAATCGAGAACGTCCAGCGTAGAGCGTTGCGGGTCATCTTGGGTGCTGATTTCATCTCCTACTCCAAAGCTTGCGTGCAGCTCAACCTACCAGCACTTAAGACCCGCCGTGAGAAACTGACTTTGAACTTTGCCAAGTCCCTTGAACACTCTAAGCTGCACCGACATCTACTGCCGCCTTCTAGAACCTCGATTAGCGGCAGGACGACTCGCTCATCCCACAAACTTGACTCTGTGTTCTGTAGAACTGAAAGATATAGATCTAGCGCGATTCCCTACATGATTCGGATGCTGAATTCCTAGCTGTTACTTCAGAGTACGCATTTTAAATATATATTTTACTATTCATAATCGTTTACCCTGTCTGTAATTTATGTGTACATCTGATATTTTAAATGACCGACCGTTTAACGTATCTTATATTAATGATTAATGACGTATAATGATTTTTAATGTGAGCTAACTTTTTATTAATTAATCAATTGTAATTGGCAGAGCACTTCAGGTCCCAATTACATGGAACCTGCCTTTCTGTGCAAGTGATGAATGACGAATAAACCATTATTATAGGCTGGACATTTCAAGGAACGAATTCTGTCCAATCCATGCAATTTCCTCAAGACATTTGTAACCCAAGATGAGCTGGGTTCACCACTTTCACCCTGAATCAAAACAGCAGAGCAAACAATGGATGAAGAATTTTTCCCGGTCCCCCAAGAAGTTTTAGAGAGTTTCGTCCGTTGACAGGGGTTTGCCTCTGTTTTCTGGGACAGTAATGAAGTAATCATGATTGACTACCTGCGAAGAGGTTAAAGCATCAATGGGGAGTACTTTTCAACAGAATTATGACAGTTGAGGACAACGATCAAAGAGAAAAGGAGAGGAAAGCTCCGAGCTGGCGTGCTGACAATGCACCTGTCCACACAGCACAGGGGTCAGCGACAGCAGCAAACGAATATGGGCTTGTAGTCTAACAGCACCCTTACAATCCACCTTAACTAGCACCGTCGGACTTCTACCTGTTTCCTAAACTCAGGTTCCACTTACGTGGTCAACGTTTTGATAGTAATGATGACGTCACCAGTGCGGTTGAGCCCTATCTGGGGGCTCCAGATTCAACCTTCTTCCACAATGGGAAAATAAAGCTGGAACATCACTGGACCAAGTGTATTACAGTTAGAGAGGACTATATTAAAAAATAGTGTAAGAAACATTTTACTGCCATGACGTTTTCTAGGTGAGGCCGAGAACTTTTTGAACACCCCTCGTACATGTATATGTGGTTCACCTGATCATACTTTCTTCTTCCTTTCTAGCCTGCTAGCTGTATGTCAAGAAGCGAGCCATATCAGATTCAGATTTTGCAGCCCCAGGAATGAAAAGTCTATGCAGGATTCAGATGTCACCGTCAGGAAGAATTGTCAAGAGCCAAATAATTCTACAATCCCATACCCATTCTCCCAGATACACACGTTTTCTTGTGACATGTTAATTCAGCTGAAGAATGTAATTTCAGTATGTACCCTTGTGTGATAGTGAAAACATATTAGGCATGTGCCATCTCTGATGTTTGGTAACATGGTGTGACAATGGCATCCCAATTAGAATGTGTTGACCATTTTGAAATAAATATCCTGCAACTTAAGGCTTAAGTCTGTGCCTTGTGTAAAGTTCTCACAACAGTCACAAAGAAGACAGTTTTTATTGCACAAGGATAAAGAGACTTGCAGCATTTGCATATAGTATTTCAATTACAAATACAGTTCCTGCAATGTTATGCTTCAGTCAAAAAAGTGAAATTCCAATTCTGAGATAAGTGAATGATATGCTATTAATTGCACAGTGATATACAAAAAGGAACATCATTTTTCAGATCTTCAATCTAGATATAGATTTCATGTTTCCTTTTAGTGGACACTACTGTCCGAAGTCACAACTACAATGATGAATGTGTAGTCTATTTCAGAAAGAGAATGAATAGGATACATGTATATTTTTTGTTCATGTATTTGACTGTGGAATGGTGAATCGTGGTAAGCTCAGGACTTGTGGAGGAATCCGTGTCACTTGCCCGGGAGAATCTGAACAGTTTACAAACAGTGTCTGTTTTAACCTATGGTCTGTACACGTTTTGAAGAATTTTTGCATGTTTCCTGGATTTTTAAGGGAAGAAGAAAGGAGTGCTGGCTCCCATTTGTAGCCACCGTTGCCGAACACAATGCTTCACAATAATGACTGTAACTTCCGTTATCGTCGTTTGTTACTTCCATTGTTAGATACTTCACCTGGTATAAGAACGTTGCCCAGTTTTTAAATCTCCGTACTTATGGTGGAGTAATGCTTTCTTGCTCTTAAAAAATGAAAAAAAAACTGTAAATCTTTTCAAACAAAAAAAGCAAAAAGTCCGTTTTGTAACCTCCGTTACCGGTAACGTATTTTGCCCCCCAGCAGCTTGTTCTGGAACTGCAGGGCAATTTGTTTAAACATATTCGAGGGAGGATAACTCAAGAACCGGCTGACGGATTGTCATGACTTTCAGTACGTAGGTAGCTTAAGTGATGCTTGTCACAATTAAATGATAATTATGCAATTCAGGAGCTAATTTGCATAATTAACGAGGGATTTCTATAAATCAGCTGTATCCCATGATAGACCTATGGACCACCTATGACATATGTAATTGCGAATGAGAGATACATCAGAATATGTACATTATGTAAACAAAGACCCAATTTGCATAATTAAGAATAACTGCCAGTTCATACTTGCCACATTTGGAAATGAAGTGAAGGTGAATAAATATTAGGAAGGTGAAGACAGCACACAAGCATGAGGTTAACAGGCTACGTGACAAAGAAGAGCCTTACACGTGCATACAAAACAGTGCAGAAAAGGTGTGAAAGGTTGAAGCAGAAATCACGATCTGTCAGTCACATGAACAGTCCAAAACTGACACAGAAATCAGGCCCGCTGGGTTGACTCCCGCAAAGGTGCCAAGAGCAATACACAAGAAACTGCTGCTGTCCAATATGTTTCCTTATGAACATAAGAGTGCAGTTGCACACAATAAGCGCAATTAGACAATCGCCAACCTCATGGCAGGCAAAGTGGCGCGAAAGTACCGGATGCTTGCCGGTTTGGCAAAGGAAACAGGCACCAGGAGAGTGCTGCATAATGCAAAGACAAATCCAATGAGAGAGAAGAGGAAGAAGCTATCAATGAGGAGGGAGCAGCTAAAAGAGAGCGTAGCAACATTCCTTGGGAGAGAGGAGAAAGCAAGCATGATGCCTGGAAAGAAAGATACAGCCGAAAAGGGAAAGGAAACTGTTCAGAAACTAGAGTACATGAAGAATCTGCAAAAGAAATACAGGGCAAAATATCCGGGAAATCTAGCAACTTTCTGCCGATAAAGACCATCCCAATATAGGCTGCCTGCATTCGAGGGACACATACCTGTGCCAAGGACATCAGAACGTCACAATGAAGTACTTAATAACGGTACTGTGTCAGCGTCCAGTCTGCGGGATCAGTTGGGGCTGCCTCCAACTCCTGGCCAGCGGCTGAAAGCAGGACAGCCAGTATGATCACGGTCAGCACACCCATGGTAACACTACCTTCTGTAGCTAGAACAAGTGTGCCTGATGCAGTGTCTAAATTCTTCTTACTGTTGTAACACAGCTGTCTTCCCACCACGAGTTAAAGAAGTCGTCTAGAAGTAGTCCCCGGGGCACAGGTCTGCCGGACTTTTAAAGGAAGGCTTCATTAATCCCATACGACAGCCACTGTTTCCGATTTTTCCACCGAAAATTGTATTTCTGCCCGGGAGTAACCTTGTTTATGGACGTTCTTTTGACTTAAACCTACGTGTAAGCCCCTAACTCGTGCCACATTCCTTTAATTCAGTACGTACAATCAGGTTGTCCATGCATTAAAAAGGTTAAGTAGAGACTACCTATATAAAAATGGCAATGAGATCCTGAGTATTAATGTGGGTGTATACCTGATACCATTCTACAATCAAACCTGTACAAGTGACCACGTCTATCTTTATAAGGACCACGTGGCCACTTTTATGGTGGTACCTTTTGAGGTGATAATGTTTTTGTTCTTTGACAGAGGCATAAAGACTGCTGTCAAAATTGACCACGTGCATCACCTGTGTAACACATCCCCGAGTTGTTTTCTAGGACCGTTTCTAGTAACTTTAACATGACGTCAAAGAGTGATCTTGAGGGGTTCTGTTTACTCTCCTGAAGACATACATGTAAAGTAGTCAGTAAAATGATTGTTTACAGCCAGTGAAACTGAGACCTTCCCTAAATTGAAGACAAAATGGTAGAAGCGCCAAGCTTACCTTGGAGAACACGTCATCCTATGAGTTATAACTTAGAAGTATGGTAATGTATGGCCGACTAACTCCGACATGTGAGTATGGTCTTTATTGAGCAAAGAAAAGTAAACTATGCCACAATATACATGTATGTAGTACTAGTAGTTTAGCTGATCAACGTTCATAATGATTTCCCCCTGTAGTTCAATTTGTAAAATAAACCACATTCACAATTTTTTCTGATTTCTGTTGAGAAAATGTTTTAACATTCACAATTTTTTCTGGTTTCTGTTGAGAAAATGTTAAAGCATTTCTGGTTTCTGTTGAGAAAATGTTTTAACATTTTCTCACCAGAAACCAGAAAAAATTGTGAATGTGATTTATTTAAAAGTTATTAGCAAGTTACTGTAGCTTGTTTCAAACTGTAACGTACAACTGTAAGTGACTAATAGTTGATATTACAAAATTAATGTAATTATATGTTTATAACCTCAAATACATGTATAATGTAAGACCTTAATTCATGAACATGTCCTAGCAATACCGTTACCGTTTGTAACATGCATGGCCTTACTTCTGCGCAATGCTGCCACCCCAAGATAAGTGTCATTGGTAGCTGCATTCTCAGTGCTGGAACTGATTCAAGTTGTCTGCTTTGTTATAGAATTTTTGATTGTTGATTTGTTTGTGTTTTGTAAATACATGTATGGTAACATGAAAGTGTAGAGGATTTTCCAGGGTTGAATCTGAACACTGAATTTGTATTTATAGCTTCAGGAAATATGCTTCAACTTAGTTTTTTCATAAGAGGCACTGACATCGTTGTGCAATTTTGAAAGCTGGAGTACATTGCTAGAAAAGGGAGTTAGACAATGTCTTCTCATATGTCTAATGTTGTTCGTACTGTTACGACTTACAGTTAGATTTTCTACCATTCATCAAAGCTTTCAAAATCTTCTTGGGGAAATGCTTGAAATCCTCTTTCAGTCTTGGTGGCATCCTAATTTCAATGGAAGAAAGTTACAGAAATACATTCACTACAGTGTGAAGCTATACTTATCTCTGGATCATACAGACGGTATCAGGACTACTCGTAATCTCCAAGCAGATCTTAGGGTGACAAAAGACAGTATCAGATTGGCTAGGCAGTATCCATTGGGTTCATGAGACAGTTCAATACGCCACCCAAGGATCTGCAGAAAGTCGCAAATATCGATGCATCATAAACCTAATCTACATTTTTATTTGTACAAATCTTTCTACCTACCTAATTTAGTCTACCTACATAATTCATCAAAATGGTTAAGTCCATTTTCCTTTGCTGATTTATCTCGGAAAAATTTAAAACACCTCTCACAATTCCCAAACAATCTGTTAGCAATCCCAAACTTGCACCACTGTTTTCCTGACATGAAAGCTTATAGTCTGCACACACACAAACACACTCAACCCAAAAAAATCAAGGCTATGCCCAGGACTAAAAGCATGTTACACTGTATTTTCAATATTCAGCATTAAACATTTCTTTAGTAAGTGACTCGTCCAATATCACAATCATGCCGCAGAACTGATGATGTACTGTGTAAACAGCACGACTCCGCCTTGTCGCATCTCCCTGCAGCCGATCTACACGCCTGTAAATAAAATGAAACCGGTTATGATATTAAAGCTTTCCTGGGGTTCCAACAATAATTGTGACACGTCTCTTTGCAACGCATTGATAACATCGTTCCTGTATCCTTGCTATTGCTCTCCTAGTTCTGCCTATTCTATCTACCTTGCCTGGGGTAGTTGAGCTACCGTTCTATACAACTGTTGAGCTGAATTCTTGTCAATTGCACTGAAAGCAAGAAATTGGAGGTTGAAGCCCTACAGGTAGTGTTTTTAATTTATGTGTCAATTTGATACAATGTAAACCATGAATAAAAACAGTAATAAAGAGTTTTAAAGGGGAACGCCAGGCAGCATTCCATCAACACAGAGTACAGACATGAAAGAGACTCGGAAATGAAGATATACAGTGTCTATTAAAAACAAGAAAAAAAACACACAGGAGGCAAAGGAGGCAATTCACACTTTGTGAATTATTATACAGTCATTACACACTGACATATATAAATCAAGAGTCAAAACCACCTCCTACTCTCTATCAACCGTTGCAAGTCTGGAACACAAATATACAACCCAACCCCTACACAGGCGCCACCCATAACAATATTTCCCTCCCGGAATTAGCAATGCCTTACCAGTACAGCAGTATATCTTGTGACCCGTCCAGCAACAGGCTCCGTCCCCGCATTTGTCACTCCGCACATAACTGCCATAGTCGCAACCACCAGGGTTGCAGAAGAAAGCTGTGCCTTCCCAGTAGCAATCTGGAACAGTTACAGAACAAGCTGCTAGCGGTTCCAAACTTACATAATGTGGGAGGGTGAAAATAACACCACCAAAATGCTAAAATGGCAAAGCTACAGACCTGCAATATTAAGCCGCAATAGGCTTGCTTGCAATCGCAACATAAATGCACATAGTACATACGTACAAAATCCATTCTTTACGCACACATTAGAGTATTCTTACATGTTATGTTTCTTCAATCGCGCATGCTTTAAGTTATGCTTAAGGCCCAGAAGTCCAGACAAAAGATCACCTTGACTAGAACTATGTCAATGCCATTTGTGGAAAAAAACTCCCCCCAAAAATGTCAGGAGGTATTGGCTGAGGGGTAGTGGCCATGTTCTTACAATACGAAAATGCATAATTTCTGTCCTAATTCACGTTACCTTGTAAACTTCCAAATTGCCTTGAATAAATGTACAAGATGCATTATGTTCCCACCATGCCAATGTTATGTTCTATGTTCCCACCAGACCAATCTTGTTGAGGATGCTGAATATATCTCACATTGGTTAGAGCAGACGAGAGCCGAGCCCTCCCAGTTCCCGCCCCTGCAGGCGCGGCTCCGGTCACCCCCTTCCCAGAAGTACCCGCTGTCGCAGCTGTAGGTGCAGACTTCGTTCTCCTCGTACGGGTAGTCACAGCCGGAGAGAGTGGCTCCAGTAATGACCGGGGGGTGTGGGCAAGAACCTGACCTGACTACACATTGACAAGCACATTTGCTATGAATAACATAACAGATGGATAGACTTGAGTTCGGTGAACACACATAATTTGTCGAAGATCGTACATACACTATCGGGTTATACTTACATATTTGTTTTGCTTGCTTACCGTTTTTGAATTAAATTTATCAACGTGCTATACGCAACAACATTGACGTGCGGTTACCTGTATACAATAACGTGCTACAACGAAATTTACAAAGCTGTAAGTTACATTTCACGTGCTCTACTTACATAGCATTGACGTGCGGTTAACTGTTTACATTAACGTCGAGTATTTACATACATTACTTACTTGGGTATGCAAGATATAGTTTATCTCCGACAGGCCAGCAGTGTCCACACCATCCGCCACAAAAGGCAGAAGCAACCTGAACATGAATTCGGAGATCTTATACCTTATATAAAATATGTAAAGTTGATGTAAACGTTTTTTGAGAGGATTTGTCTCATTGATGTTTGAGGATTTGTCCACTTACCGTAGATTACATACACAGTATTTATGAAAGTACTATTATGTAACCAATGTAATTACAGAATTCCTTCCTAAATTATGCAAATCAGGTCTTTATTTGCATAATTTCCATTTAATTCTGTACACTTCTCAACACACAGACACACCAAAAAGAATACCTCCATTTTTCATGGAGGTAAAAAGAGGCGTTAAAGTGTTAGGGCAAACATTGTCATATCAATGACTTTACCGACAAGGCGTTCAGACTGAGAATAAGAAAGGATGATTTCACTGATACACTTTTTCACTCATTTCAGTGAATTTTTACTCCGGGGAAACCTCTTCGTTGACTGGCTCTATCTGGTGCATAATAAGTTATTGGGATCCTGATGATGCTGATTGCTTTTGTTTCATAGTATCTGTATTTTTAGGTATTGAACAATTGAATTGAATAATTAACGCCCCTGTGCAGATTGCTGTGTGATCGCCTAATGGTAAGGGCTGTCGTGAAACTGTATGTATCAATCCGTCAGGGCTAACGCCTTTAAGAAAAAAATGGGATTAGCAGGTCCCGATAGGTATTTAGCATTTGTTTGGCTGCACTGGTCTGTTCGCATCTATGTTTATAAATCATGATAAATCATGCCCATAGAAATTAATGCTGTGTTTCTTATTACGGTTCTGAAAAATTAATGGTAAACTCCCCGTAATCCGGCAGAACTGAGTTTTTAATTTCTTTCAAATAATTTTTGTCCGATCGAATTGATCCAAACGTAAACACATACAGTCAATATAACACTGAAATGCAGTGGTACACTGGTATTTGGACATGAACCAAAACGTGGGTAATTAAATATAAGCAGGGTATGTCGGGTAACGTTTCTTTTCCTCGAGCTTACCAAACGTTATGTTGCAAATAAGAGACAAACCTTCCTATCCTCGGAGAAGAACATACCATGGACGGTAAGAGATGCTGGGTATCTCTCACTCAGCTTCCAGTGGGTATCAGGTGCAAGCGACAGTTCCGTCCCGGTCAGATCCACTTTAAACGTTCCCCTGGCACATCCCTGTACCCTTGAATAACAGTCACCAGCGTGCCCGTAGGGTATTGCATTTGGCCCTGTGTTAAATAAAGACAGTACATCGTTAAAATGTATGGCTCAACTGAATTTTGTAAAGGTTCTTCCTTGACAAGTGATAGAACTATATAGTAATCATAGCTGCAAATGTAAAGGTCGTTTGACAAAAATATTTGTATGTTGACCTCCAATATATAAAGACCCAGACGTGAAGGCAGATTACAATTAGATTAAATTATTTCAATTTTTGCCGCAAAAACGCACGTTGACCTACCAGTGGTTCGGGCAAAGGTGTAGTCGTCTCTAATAACCTCGACCCTGGATTCCTCCAGCGTGATTCTGAGCTTGCTGAACTTCGTGGTTCCGGCCTCTATATATGGGCTCTAAATGTAATGACAATGATACATGATATTGGATTCACATAGTAATCGATTGAAAATTGCAACGATGAGGTAAATTAATATTCTGTTTCACAAATGTACTCAGGAAGGGACAGAGGAAGGCCACAGTTTGGTGGGACGACGAGGTAAAGGAGGCTATTAAGGAGAAGACAAGACTTTACATTGTTTGGGTAAGAACACAGTCAGAGGAAGATCATGTAAATTACAGAATAGCCAGAGGAAACAGCAAGAGAGTGGTCAAGACCGCAAAGGACACATCCTGGGCTGCCTATGGCAGACATCTTACTGACCTGTGCAAGCAACCGCCTCGGGAGTTCTACAAAAGTATTAGAGCCATGCGACTGAGGGACGAGCCCTACAACCCAACATCAGTAATAAACGACAGAGATGGAAATCTACTCTACGAGGACGATGAAATCAGGAAAAGGTGGGAGGACTATTTCGAAGAACTATTTAACCCTGTTGAAGGGAACAATACCACTGAACAGTTCAGACCCAGATACCCGGACCACGAAGAACCTAACATGCTAGAGGAGGAGGTCAGGACAGCTGTGAGAACCAGTCCAAAGAACAAGGCAGCTGGAACGGATGGAATCATCACTGAAGCCATCGTGACCTGCGGAGAGACTGGTGTCAAGTGGCTAACTTCGATCTTCCAGAAGGTGTGGGAGGAGAGACGTGTATCGGAATTCTGGCAGAGAGCAGTTCGAGTATTCGAAGCATCTCCACATGGTCTTTGTAGACCACGAGAAAGCATTCGACAGAGTAAACAGAAACAAGCTGTGGGAAGTACTGGAACTCTACGGAGTGAAAGGACAACTGCTGGACAACATCAGAATCAAATTATCAACATGCTACCAGCTCAATTGTTTTGTAAATCGATGTGTGAAACTCTGAGTACACATTACGTACAAAAACCATACATTTTGACCTTTTCCTATTTTTTGGTGAAGAAAGGAAGAAATATCTGATTGTTGAACGCAAAGCTGTTCTATATACATAATGTTTCTCATATGATCTCATATGCCTTTCAATGAAACCCCAAAAACACAGTGCCAACTAACTTTTGCCAACAAACAGGATGACTGTCAACGTATATTACATTTGTCTTGCAGTTCTGGGAACCAGGTCTTTCCCATGTCCCTTGTACACCCCTGGCAATTTTTTTCATCTCCGTTGGAATTTTCTTTGTTGCTGTTGGGGAAAAGTGAATTATTATTGAAAATTTGTTCCTGTAAGCTGAAAAAAAAAACAGTTTGATTTTAATCATTATAAAAATCAGATTTATGTCAGCTCAAACTCCTTTTCCTACCATGCCATGTCGTTTGAGTTTTTAACCCCCTTGTCCTGGTAGTTTGTTTACGATCTTCAGGGTTAAAGGGATATTATACAACATGTTGCTCCAAAATTGAAATATCTCAAATAAAAATATATTCTTAAGATTGTAATTTACTTTCGGTAACATATTTATGCTATTATTTAAAATATCTGACATTTAACAGCCCACCAGACTAGAGGTACACCCATTTTGTGGCACCTCCAAGCGTTCCGGGGTCGGTCATGCCTATTTTCTGATCAAACGTAGATCGCACGCTTAGAAGCACCGGCTGCCAATCCTAGTATGCTATCCCTGGAACAGCATATACTAGGGTTGGCAGCCGGAGCTTGAAACTCCTGAAAAGGCGGCCAGGTTTTAATAGTATAACCTGTTTTATCATGTTCTTGTCATGAGTTCCTTTTAGCTGCAAAAAAGTCACAGATTTAAACCTAGCGTGCATTTCACTCGGGCTACTACAGGTCAACACAGCCTAACATGGGTCTACTACAGGTCAACACAGCCTAACATGTTTGAAAGCGGATCCCGTCCTATTTACGGACGACAACACACGCCTTTATATAGGATAAGAAACACTAAACCAACTTATTATGTTATGAAAGCTACTATAGACTGTGGAATCTAGAGATGGCGTACTTCAAACGTCACACAAAAGAGGTATTATGCCTCCTCAATGGAGGGAAGCTAATGTTGTTACGACGGTTCCAAAGCCTTGCCCACCAAACATGGACGAACTTCTACTCATCTCCCCACAACAATGTTGAGTAAACTCTCAACGTTTTGTGACTAATAGGATAGTAAAAGACAGACCCCCAAAGCTCGACCCCGACAATATGATGGTAGGAACTATTTAAATTGACAACAGCAGCTAGATAGAGAGATAGATAGATAGATAGATAGATAGATAGATAGATAGATAGATAGATAGATAGATAGATAGATAGATAGATAGATAGATAGATAGATAGATAGAGATAGAGAGAGAGAGAATCCCTGGATAATTCGACATTGTATTGCAGCCACCAAAAGATCTGCTAGGAGAATAAGTTTTACTCGCCTGTAATGAACCTGTGCATCCATACTCCCAGGACAGCTTATCGGGACTGATAATGGCATAGTTCTCATCTGGACCGGCAGGTAGGGATAAGAACTCCTTTGGGTTCCCTGACGCCATGTCGTGGCAGTAGACGCGGATGGATACATCGTTGTCCATTGGAAAGGGGTAAAGTGTGTACTCGCCATCGCCAGCCGCAGGGTTTAGAGACTTCATCTCGGAGCATGATGCTGCCCTGGGGCCTGGAAGAATGAATGAATGAAGACCTTATTGCATATTTCTGCCACAGTTGGCTAAGTACAGGTCACAACAAAACAAGATGGACACGGATAACAGATACAAAAGTAACTATAATTGTAACTATCGTTATAGAAATCCAACTTCGCTTTTCAGTTACTGTAGAAAAAAAAGTGCAGATATGTTTTTCGATGGGTGGTTTGTCTAGTCCCATTAGGAATATGATTTTTTTTCTACAGTACTTAAGTGTGTGAAGTAAGGGAATAGGTGTTGTACAAACATATACAGTTCATTTCTCTCTTTGGTATACAGTTCACATTCTATTACAAAGTATCGTTCGTCCTCTATTTTGTTCAAGTTACAATATTCACATAATCTGTGTTCAAGGGGAGTGCGGGTATGTCTTCCGATTTCAATATGTAATCTGTGAATGGAACCACATTGAATGTAGCAGAGAAAATGTGGCATGTTTTGCTGAAACATGGCACCTATTTACATATATGCATCGCTCTGAGACAAGGGTCTATCCCTGCTTCAGCAGTGTATGGTTTATCTCATGAGATTTGACAAGTTTTCTTTTTTTTTTTCACAGTGTACATTTGTTTTGTTCAACAGAAAACATCGTCACTTTTACCTGTATCAGGTGTGGTGGTCGGAACTTCAATATGCGCTGTTACAAAAAGTAATAAAAAGAGGTTACATAAAAACGTTTACACATTTGTTCAATTGACGACAATAAGTAATTATAAACTGTTTCAAATTTCTAACCCTCTCTTGACTTGCATTCACCGTGCATATGGTCTTATTTTTAGTGAAAATATATTGTGTGCATTATTTATGATCTGATAATTCTTAGCGACACTAGAAACATCCGATTTCCGATCAATATACATTTTCTAACAGCGTTTAAAACAATATGTATTTTTATTCTTGACGACCAAGAGACTAACAGATAAAAACGCTTAAAATCAACCTTACGTAAGTACTGTCCAAACCCCGATACTCTACAACTTAAATGTTTGTGTGAAGAATACTCTAGTGGACATCCAACAGGGATAGATATGGATCGCTATCCACACGACCTTATTCTAATATTAGTTAATGAACTCGGTGGGATGAAATATACATTGTACTAGTCGGTTCATTTACTATGACACCATGACGGCGTACAAAAACAGATTTCTAACAGCTGCAACCATTTCCGGATCCCCCCGATCTTTCACCATTTTTTAGAAGATCACCGAACTACGTTTCTTCTAAAATAACAAAACCCCTTCATTATGCAGAACGCAGGACAGTCCATTCTTTACTGCCCTCGAAGCTGTAGGAAGAAGACTTCACAATAATAAACGTAATAGGTGATCAGATAGTAGCTCTATATACACTTACATTACTTATATTTTGGCGCTGCACTTGCTATTAGCCGTCGGGCATGATTTTGCAAATAAAATATCGTTATTATTAAAGAAAACATCAAAGTCTTACTGGAAACAGTGGGGAGGGGCGTCTGTGCCAGAGAGATGACCAACTCACGAGTGTTCACAACCTTCAATTTTAACCCATCAACCTTTCTCTTCACTTCTACCAGCCGGGCTGAAACATATTGTTTGTTTGTTTGTTTAAATGCAACAGTGCATAACAAGTGGCAACCAGGCAGCAACAAGGCTGGTAGCGGCTACCACTGACACATAGGTGCATAAATACAAGGCATATCAAATTACAATATTACTTATTACGTACAAATACAATTCAATATTATACAATAGCAATATACATACAAAGTACATACAAATTCAATCAATACAGAAGCAATACAATATAAGTACAATACAAATCGTGTATGGAGGATTTTTATTTTCAATTGGTGTTTGGGTAATCAGGATATTGGTCATATAGAAGTTATTTCAAGCCAAATATAGTCCCTCAATTCATTTTTCAGAACTTGTTTAAAAACATAATGGCAAAAATACTTCAAAAGGGAGTAAACCTTATTACCGTTCAAGTGAGCTGCTTGCTGCGAGGTTATTCCGCAGACATCCGTGATACAACAAATGACGAAAATACACAAGAATGTCCTTAAGTCCATCGTGAGGCGTTTAGTCTGATAATGATACAAATGGCAGGAGTTAAGATGTTTCATCTTGAGAGGGATTAAACATTTTACAGTTTCTTCTAAGTCAGATGACTATAATACACAATGGAGGGACTGAAAATACTATCATACATGCATGACTTATTTTTCTTATTTGTTATATAAAAATACAAAGACATGTACACGACTGTAAGGTTTTACCAACTTGTATGAAGACTTTCTTAACTGGAGTATCTAGCCCAGTATCTAGTTCCGTTAAGTCGTCAATACAAAACTAACAAAATTTAGTCGTCAGTTAGTTAAAAATTACTCCTTGCCCAATGGGTACTACCTTGCCAGGGTCTGCTTGGAGGTTACCAGTTTGGCGCATTGGACGATTTTAATACTCAAGTTATCACCACTGCGCTATTTGAAGCACAATGTAAATGATAATAATTGTATTTATATGAAGAAATGTCACGGTAACTTACAAGTTGTCAGAATGATCCTTATCCTTGGTCGTTTCACGATATGAACACAATGCTTCCTGGGGTAGAGTGAAATATTACTGCAAAGTCTTCACACTGCGATCTTACTACTTGGTCTTCCAGAGCACTCTTTTAACCTTTTTTTTTATAATTCCATTACCTATCTGTTTGGACGTCATTAGAACTAGTACGTGAGAGCGACATTGTTGAAAGCACTTAACTACTAAATCACCTTAATTAACTTTGGGACCTTTTCATCAAAGACCATAATAAACGCCAGGTGAAGTCCATTATCCACTAGCTGATTTAATCTAATTTAACACATTCTGAGTTAAATCGACACAACTAAGGCCTGGCCATTCACCCCGTTCCAGTTTCCACCAAAGACAGATTCAAGTTGCCCCATCTGAACGCTCCAAATCGCATTGAAAGCGCCTCGATCCCAAACCACCTCGGGAGGTAGTTTCAAACCGGTTTCACCGGATCGCGATTTGGGTCTGAACGCAATGTGATTCCAATGTGTTCCAATGATTCACCGGTTTACTTTGCATATTGACCCTACCATGGACTACGGGGTGATATTTCTATTTACAGGACTCAAAATACTGGGTGCATGTGCACCTTAGTGCACCCAAATACGGAGCTGTGCACCCAATGTTTTTGTGGCTGCACCATGCCAATGCACCTACATATTTTCATAGGTTTACATCATATGTTAAATTTGTAGTAGTATACAGCATATTCGTACAAAAGGTATACAGGTTGACACTAACCTGCTAGACTATGACATGCTTTCCAGCATCACTGAGGCGACTGCACCGGATCGTCAGTTAGACTCCGGCCTTCACTGGTGTTTCGTCCCTTTACATCTAAGACACCTCGGGGCGGTGGGACAGTAGGGTGGACGTCTCCATCCTACTTCCGGTACAGTCGTCTCTACTTCTGGAATGTCTGTTTCCAGTTCTTATCCTTTCTTCTTAGCCAAATGACAAAACTACTCTTCTCCACTTCTTCAGACACACGGCGGACAAGCTGGGCCTGTGCCTTCCCTCGGATCTGGAGGTCTCTGCATAGCCGCAGTAGTGATGACCCTGCAAACCCACGAACTCCTATTTCTACTGGGTAGAGCTGAGTTTTCCAGCCGTTCAGCCTACACTGCTGGACCAGTTCCTCGTATCTTGTCTTCTTCCTTTCAAAACCTACCTGAATGTTCTCTTCCCAAGGAACCGTTAGTTCTACTATCAACACTGACTTTTGGTCCTCTGACCACAGGACAAGGTCCGGTCTCAATGTCGTTGCGCAGATACTACTTGGGAAATGCAGCTGCCTGTCGAGATCTACGCTCATTTTCCACACTCCTCTACATAATGGGCCACCTCCTATTCTGCTCCTACTGCTGGTTGCCCCTGAGGGCTGCTGCCCACGTAAATTCTAAGTGTCAGAAAATAAAATCATCGTAGAAGTACTTTTCTGTAGAAGTAAAAAATTTCCTAACATTCTACTAATTTTATCGTATATGGTGCACCCCCAAATGTTTTTTGTGCACCCAATTTTTTAGGTTGGGTGCACCAGTGCACCTTTTTTTTTAACTTAATGGAGTGGTTCAATGCAAGGCCACTTCTCGGCATTTAACTAGGCATATGAGAGAAACATGGCTATGTCAAAAGATGGCGGCGAACGTTTGATTTGAAAGCCTGTAGATTGTAGGTTGGTGGGAAAGTTCTGAGTGGTGGAACCATTTGGGTGAGTTCTGCAGAGCAATGACCATGAAAATATCTGTAAAAGAGGGATAGAGAGGCAACATTTCGTTTATGGGAAAAGGGGTCTAACGTGAAGGCCAGAGAATAGCCTATGGCCACGCAGATTCTCTTTTGTATGCGATCGAGAAGGTGTAGGCAATCGATTGGTGCACCAGCCCAGAGGTGCGAACAGTACTCTATACATGGACGATTGGTGGATTTATAGGTATAGTAGACTTGCAGGAGTGAGGTAGTGTCTCGAATTGCGCGAAAGGAGGAGCGAACCGACTTTCATTGCTGCAGATTTGGCGACGGATTCAATGTACTTTCTCCAGGACAACCCCTTGGAGAGAATTGAGAACTGTTCGAACCCCGTCATCCTGACCGGAGTTCCCGCCTGGTTCTCCTCGTCGTAATAAAACATGGTCTCGCAGTGCCCCACCTCCAAATATAACTCGTACAAATCCTTCTTAGGGGGAGGTTGGACGTAGTTGACAAAATGAGCCGCCTCTGCCAGGTACAACACCAGGCACAAAACTGTAACATACTTCAGAATCGTCGACATCTTGGTCCTTTGTAGAATTTTGGCGAGTAAAGGAAAAAAAACGTCACAGAGAAACAATTAAAGTTCAAAAACGTTAATAATTAACACACAGGTGGTATAAATCGTGTGTAGACGTCTGGCGAGTGACGAAACACGGCCTAACAGTTCAGCAAGCGTTCTTTTTGCTTGAATGATAAACCAGATACACTTAACGCAGGTGGTATTTTATACGTGATGTTCCCACTGAATCAAAACCAACTATACAGTTATTAAAAACGTTTTAAGTGACAATTGACTTTATAATAGTTGGTAGTAAAACTAGCACAATATAGGACTTATTCCTTGTTTAACACGCTTTATGATGTCAAAATGTAGGTCTTTTGTTAATTTTTTTTGCCTGTCATGTTTTTTTCACCCTATCGCATTATATTCAGAGTCTGCGGAGGATGTCATCCAAAAATGTACATGCTGGGGCCTAAGGGAAAAAGTCTTGAGGGCAAAAGGGCATAAATATAGCATAAATAATGATTGGACTTTAAAATGTTGACGCGTCTGTAACTTAACCTCCAAGCAGATGTTAATGGGGTCAAAATAGTGAGAGAATATTATGGACAGTATTAGGACCCTAAATGGAGTTAACCTGTCACAGTTCAATGAAAATTACACCAAGATAGCAACATTGTTATACAGTAGATGTTAGGTGGTATATAGTATTGTTGTAATGTATAGATTCCTACCACATAGCATTAGAATATAGCGTTCCAGTATGCAATACTCATGTTTTGCATACTGCATATCCTCTTGTGCATTTAGCCCATCGGGGCAAGAACATGCAATAAATATTCACTCAATATATACATGTATTTAAGACTTAGTTTGACGTCATTATTACACCATTTATGCATTTCATTATGGAAAATCACCTAAATATAATACTTTCAGTCAGTCAGCCTCAAAAGAATATGATTCTACTGCACAAACAAACAGGATGGCTTAGTTCCTAATTTCATATGCCGAATCAAATCCCAGCTAAAGTCTGTATATATACAATATAATATCCAAACTCTAAGTTAAATAGGATATATAAAAAGGTATACAACAAAGTCAAAGCCTAAATTAAAAATAATAACGGTTTATGGTGGAATGTTACTGACCATCTAGACTTATATATGTTGCCAGTAGCCAGAAGCGACAACAAAATGTTGCCATGTATTTCTACCCGCGAGGCCATGTTGGTTTGATTATACGGATGACATACTCTGGGAATCAAAAAAAGAAATTCGAGCGTTCAAATAAATAAAGTTGGGAAAAAACATTGCGTTTTATCAAGAAATTTACATGCTCATTTTGCATCTGCTTTATACGACTTACAGTACGGTCTAAAGTGTTGTTTTTGGAAACGGACGAAAATATATGGGCGCGCGGATGTCATCCGTATAATCAAGTCAACATGGCTCAAACTTAGAAATACAAAATATATATGTTATTAACCAACACCCTAAAATACATGGTAGTGACAAAAGTTATGAGAAATTAACCCGGTTAAACATAAGGTAATAATACGGTATACCAACATACATTTTGTTCAATGACGTCGTCAAATTAACATAAAGTGCCGGTTTTAAATCATACATTGTTGATTAAATAGTACGCAATGCTTCTTACGTACGCCTAATGACATTTACCTTTACTCAGCTCAGTTGTGCAACTTAGGTTTAATCCACATAATTTATATCTTTCTGTTCTTTTTTTCCAATACATGATATCCGCATATCAAACAATGTGACGATCTGTCTACCACTTCTTTCGTAATCTCAGACAAGATCGACCCATAAGGCCACACCAATTTAATTTGTTGGTTCTCGGATTCGCCTCTTCATTTTTTTCTGATTTGCAAAAAAAAAAAGATTCTGGTTCTGAATCAACTCAAAAATGCTCATATTTTGCCCCCAACAGTTGAGGAAATTCCTTTTCTTCCCAGTTGTTACAGTTTTTCTATCTATCAATGCAGTGGTTTGATTAAAAGTTCAAAATTTATACTTTAAATTTTAACTTTAAACTTTTTGTTGACTTCATGGCTCATATCGTAGCATTTGGGGCTATAATAGGATGCACAGACCTGTTTTTATTTTTATTTTTTTTCGCCCTGTCGCTTCATATTTTTTCTGAAAAAATCCGAGAACCAACAAATTAAATTGGTGTGGCCTAAAATAAACAAAAAAATGGTGAGTCCAAATAACACTTCATTACAAGTCAAAGAAATTTTTTCTGTTCAAATAACAAAACTAGTATATTATGTTTAAAACACGAAATATAAGTATATTTGCGTTGCAGACACCTGATTATATACGAAATTTTAAACATTCACAACTGCTTGGGTTCTGCTGTCCACACATAGGTATATCCCTCCTGTGTGAGACACACATACACACAGACACAAACTCACACTTACTCACACACAGACACAAACTCACACTCACTCACACACACACACAGACACACACTCACTCACACACACACACAGACACAAACTCACACTCACTCACACACACACAGACAGACACAAACTCACACTTACACACACACAAAGACACAAACTCACACTCACTCACACACACACAGACACACACTCACTCACACACACACAGACACAAAGTCACACTCAGTCACACACACAGACACAAACTCACACTTACACACACACAGACACAAACTCACACTCACTCACACACACACACACACACAAACGGACACAAACTCACACTCACTCTCTCTCACACACACACATAGAAACTCACTCTCACACAGACACAGACACAAACTCACATTCACTCACACACACACACACAAATATAAACACAAACACGTACACACACTCATTACACACGTGCATACTCTTACACACACACACACACGCACACACATATATATACATACATACATACATACATACACACACATATACATACATACATACATACATACACACGCGCATGCTCTTACGGACACATACACACACACACACACACATACATACACACACGCACACACACACACCCTTACACACACATACATGCACACGCTCATACACACGCACATACCCTTACACACACATACAACCATACATAGACACGCACATACTCTTACACACACATACACATACATACACAAACACTCATACACACGCACATACTCTTACACACACACACACACACACACACATACAATAAAACACATACACACACACCCATGTACACACACACGCAAGTACACAGACACACACACACACATACATACACGTACACAAACACACAAACAAAAACAAAATGACACTCACTTATACATTCACACACACAAACTCACACACTTACTGTTCGCTGTTCGTTGAAAGAGTTCGTCGTACTCTTTGCTGTTCGTTTTAGTTGATTTTTCAGTTTCTTTCGTTTCATTCGTTTGGACTTTCTGGCGGCTTCGACCTCATGGAGATACCTTTTTTTCTCCGTTTCGTATTTGAAAGTTGGTTGTCCATCGATGACTGCCTTGATGTTTTGTTTTTCGGTCATCAGCTTAAAACGGTCCCCCTGTGGTCCTTTTTGCATCGGAATCAAAAATTCCCTTACCTATAGAACAAAGAGGTTGACAATTTCAGTACGCTGTCGATTGTTTAGAGCTGCTGTATTAATTAACTTCCTATGCATTTTCCCACCGATCTCCATACGAGAGCAGACATGAAAATAATTCAAAAGTGAAGACAGGAAACTAGGTGATCTTTCATAACCCTTTTTTTTAACCTTTCTTTGACCTCTGCCCTAATTTCAGTGTCCCGGATGTGCTTAGAATTTGGAACTAATCAGTGGCAACCTTCCTATCAGTCTGTGGTTACACCATTTTCCATAACGGTCACAAAAAGAAAACAACACAGAAGTATAAGGAGAAAATCAGTAAATCGGCGATTCTAGATTACAATGTTGAACTTACAGTAACCATTTTAGCAGTCTGTGTCTTTATAACTGAATGTATTCTTGTTTTTTGTCTGAGTTGTGTTACGATCAAAGTAATTTTATGGGACTTTGCCAAGTTATAAAAACACAGACTGCTAAAAATGATTACAATTCGCCATCAATACAGAGGACAATACAGTACTCTTTTTCGTCTGAGTTAAGTGAGGAAAGTCGCGTAAAGTGTATTTTCCAAGAGCACAAGTTCCTTGACATGACAGGGTTGGAACCCAGGACCTTCGACGAACAGTCTATCGTTACGTCACACGACCCCCATTGCCGCCAAATTGTATTGTCCTGTGTATTGGTGGCGGCATGAAAAGAAGTTGAAAAACCTGAGTGTACCTTCACCACGTCTAGCGATTGGAATAAAAATGGCGACAATTGCATAGAGAGTGTGACTTCAAAAAATTGAGGTCAAGGATGCGCAGGAATGGAGTGTGACATATGTACAGAAATTAAATAGGTGGTAGAATACCCGATTACATTACAAATTGCAAGCCCTATTACAGCTGCAATTTGCAAATAACATTCATAAAAACCCAAATCACCGTTCCACAATCAGACACTCACTACTGAATGCAGTGCACTGCAAAACTCTGCGTCGACTTCAAACTGCGAATTCCATTTGGATGCTTTCACTGCAAGGTTAGGTTCCTCCCTCTGTCGTTCACCACAATACGTGTTAATGTGCTCATTGAGGTCCTTAAAATGTCGCACTTCCTCAAAGAAGTCAGGACCCTGCGTGGTTGACAAGTAAATAAGAACCATCGTTGGGTTAACAAAAGTTAATCTTGTTTGCGATTGTAAATGCAAATCTTATTTAGAATTTTAAAGTATAAATACAAAAAAAGTCAAACTAGAAAAATAGTAGATTTCAAAGACTTGAAATTATGCAATCCTCAGCTTCCAGCATCCTATTCATTTGTCAGGGAATACAAAGATGTAATTGAAGAAGGGCCAGATAACCAAACGAAAGGCGTAATTAATTGTTCGAGCACAAAGTAGTGCGGGTAAGTACTTGAGAAAGCGTGAGCCCAACACGCAACGCTTGCACACATCAGGTGTTGCAGCAAAGAGGGGAGAAATGGATATTTACACAGTCAGCATTAGGCCATGTTGATTTCATTATATGGATGACATCCTCTAGACCCCTAAAACTGATGCGAACGTGCGAATAAAAAATAGTTTACAAAAAAAGGTTTAATTTCTTCATTAGGAAATTTACTTAGTACGTTGTAATAAAGGTTAAACGAATGACTAAACACACAGAGTATGGTATGGTGAATGATAATAGATTTTCATTTCTTCACATTTGTTTTCGTTTCCTGAATTGATTTCGGCATTCCATGACTTTATTATCGTCTTCCAATACTTTTTTTTAGCAACATAAGACATATATTCGCTGTTTCTATACGATGGTCGAAACTTTTTTTAAACGTATGGAAATTCATGCGCGCGCGGATATCATCCATATAATCAAACCAACATGGCCTTAGCCATACCCGGCGGCATTCTATCTATGTCCTAATTGTGGCACCTTATGTAAAGGGAATGTGGTTGCATTGGTTTGCATTTTTTTCTTAGCAAAAGTGTGATATCAGCATATATGGGCAGTGTGTGTAATGGATAATTGGCATTGGCCAGAAATAGCTTGGAAAACTTAGATAACTGTAAAACTGATGTAATTACCAAAAATGATGGACTTTGTATTTGTGAATGTTTATAACATAGTATCTTTATCAACTCACAGTTGTCAATCAAAATGTGCCTTGATGACCCCCCCCCCAGTCAGAAATAATCAGTTTTAATGTTTGTCCGAACCCCAAAAAGGTGAATATTGCTAGAAACGCCCCTTTTGTATCAGTCAGGTGGTCTTAACTAGTTTTATCTGTATCCAAGAAACTAAACTTCAAATAATGGTCAAAGGTCATGGGCTCTACTGGCTTGATTACCTAATTTCTGAGGCTGGGGGTACTTGGCAAATTACATACTATTGAAGCAATTACCTTTCCTAAAAGACATATTTTGGACAGCCCAAGACTTTCGTGTTGAAAAATGCCCATATTACTAGGATCAGTTTTGAACCCAGTCGGACTTACCTCAGACTTTCCTTTGTAATTTTACAAAGTTTGCAAAAAGAAAAAAAATCAAATTACAAGAAACTGAAGAAGAGTTATACTGACAAAGTCAAGAAAGAAAAGTGGCACATAAAAATATACGCCTAGGTTAAAAACAGAAAATTAACTTTGAAAATCCAGTTTTACTGGTCTAAGATTGCACTGGGTACCTAAAAGCTAGAAAACATGGCATGTAGGACACTTGCCTGTGCTGCGATCTTCCGCCACAAAGACTTGTTGAACGTGTCATACAGTAGGTAGTCCACGGCTTTCCAGCGCCGCAGGTCCGCGAGCTCTTTTTCAGAGGGAACAAAAGACTTAAACGTGTAATTTCGAACATTATTTGCCTTGTAGAGGACGTCTTGAAGTTCCCAACACATGAGACGTTTGAGGAGAACGTAAGACTCGTCCACGTAGTCCAGCAGCATGATGAGGGTGAAGTCGGCTTCTAGTTCATGGATGTATCTTCGAGCTCGCTCCTTGATTAACAAAAAATATAAAGAACGTTATCAAGAAATGTATATAAATGTAATCATAAGGAAAACTTTGGTGTCATTATGTTGTCATAAGACGTCATTATGGTGTCACGTTTTGGGCTAAAACCGTCAACATTTTTTAAACTCAATGGAATGCAACCAAATGTTAACGAAAAGTGTTTTCATTAGAATATTTAGGTCTACCAAGTCTTATGTTGCCCCTGGCAACAACATCGACGGGAAAATGATGACATAAAATGACGCCTTGCATATTCAAGTTATCCACCATCTTGGATCGTCAATCTTGAATTTTCTAAAATGAATTTTTTTTCAAAATACAGTCTAAAACACAAGGTAATGGGCAGCAGATGTTCACATGAACGGTTTATGTGAAAAAATACGGAGTAATGGCGAAAGTTTGACTAATGATCTGGTTCACCACCTTGGGTTTTGACCAATGATGTCATCAAATTAGCATAAATTATGAATATCTATTGATAAAAATTACAGAAAATTATAGTAGTTGTTATTAATCTTAGAATGAAAGTGTGATTGAACAAACCAAAAATTACTGAATTTTCAAAAAACTGCGTGTCAGAGAACCGTTGCCATGGCAACACGGAAATTCATCAACTTGTCTAATTAATATGGGATTGTTTACAGTTTTCTTTTTAAGAAAATTAGCCAAATGTCATGGTCCTAGCGCAGGCCGTTTCAGGTGCTATCCGAGATAAAAGTTGGCGTGGGCCTTACACCGACGCCGTCTGAATAGGGTTAATGTAGTAGATTCGATTCACAGGAAGTGTGTGTGTGTGTGGGGTGGGGGGGGGTGGAGATGGTGTAACCGCAGACTGACATTGATGTTACTTTGAAAGTGAAAAAGGTATCCTAATGGCCTTCGAAGAAAGGTCTCCCTGTAGGCTGATGAAGACAGCCAAGGTAGCCACTTAAAACAATACTTCTGTACTTAGTAGAAAATGTACCTTGTCTTCCGCTCCCTCGGCAGGATATCCCAAGTCAAAGGACATGAAGTTCCGACTTGGGTCCCAGGTTACATTACAGTAGGCAACGTGAACCTCGGACCGGTTCTTGTACCTCCATGGGTTCTCCAAGAACGTGTTGAGCGGGTTTTTAGACTTGATTTTCAGAAGTTTTGGAAGGTAGTAATAGTTCATGGTGGACCTCAATTGCTCGCTTGGATTTCGTATAATAGCTGTGTTCAAAACATAAGTGTCAATTGTCATAAATCAAGTGCCTCCTTTACTTTAGTGATTTCATAGGGAAATAGAAGATATGGGTATTTTTGTAATATAAATATAACCAGGGCAGATTTAACTGTAAGCCTGAATAACTTTTGAATTGTGGCTATTTATGGATTACAAAGGTCACGGAGTTTCAAAGAAGCGAATCATTCCATGTTCACATGATTTTCTGTGATCAAAGTTCAAAACTTTTTCATGCTCCATTCCCGAGATGCCTGGGGTGACTTACTTGACAGTATTTGTCAACAACTCTCCCCTGAGGCGTCACCAAAAAGAGTGATAATACATGGTAATTTGTCAATGTCCAAACAGATGTGTTCTTTTTGGCGTCCTAAGATGTGAGTCCTTTTGACCTAGGTTTCCGTTATGTATGAGTAGGTTGTGTTTATGTTACGTTCGTAGAAGTAAAACACGTTGTTTTTGCTTAGTTTCGTCCTCCGTTCCAAACACATCAAGTCAATGATCTGCGCCATACTGCTGTCACCATGTTAACTGGTGCTGTAGCAGACACCCCGTGGTGTTGGGTTACAATGTTTTGCAAGTTGCAAGACACAGATACATATAGATATGTTTGAGTAAGAATAAACTAAGTGGTTACTAGTTGATTGTTAGGCTACACCATGTAAAGGTAAACATTATGCAATCGCATTACAAATGTTACCATTCTAGTTATTAAAGTAAATCAGTTAAAGCGTCTTACATATGTAGGCTGTGTCGGCTGGGAACTTGGATCGTAGCCAGGTTTTATTGTACGTAAAGTGGTTCAATAGTGCATCATACTGTTCATCAGGTGTGTGGATGTAGTCTTCTTCGACGGGAGAGACGCCCCAAGAGAGAACGTTACCCTTGGTTGGAATAAGCACAGCAAGCCTGTGCCTGATGGCGTATCGCATGAAAACCGGACAGCTAGTTGAGGCCCCGACTTTGTGCGGTGCGATGAAGACGTATTTCTGTCGTGGACGGCTGCAGAAGTCCGTTGACACCTCGGTCTCCTCTCTGTATTCTTGTTTTTTCTCAGCTGCAGGACTAAAGAGATTCGGTAATCATTTCTGATAGAAGACAAGATTCATTGTGCATAAAAGAGACTCAAGAGACTGTACATGTACAATCTTGACGTTATTTACAATATATAAATTTAAAAACACTACCACATCGTTTGAAATATATGTAAATGAATAAGATAAACTAGAAAGGCCAATATTTGCTTTGGAGCAAATAACAGCGATGGGTTCACCACATTTTATGACGTGGCAGGGAAAGAATGAGAAACACAAGGGAAAACAATGATTTACATTAATATAACTATAATATGAAGTAACATACAACTAAAACAACAGTTGGATAGCTATTCCCTACTTTATTGGTTAGGATTTTTAATTGCATAATGCAAACTGTTGATTTTCAAAATAAATAAAAAAACGTTCATGCCCCGCATTCCAATGCTGGAGCAGAAAAGCTTGAAATACCTACCAAAACACTTGAATAAAGACATACTGTCAGTATGGAAATGCTCTGTGCAGGTGTTAATCAAGTTAAATCCCAACAGCCAATCAGCAAGAAATGCTCTGTGCAGGTGGAAATGCTCTGTGCAGGTGTTAATCAAGTTAAATCCCAACAGCCAATCATCAAGAAGTATAGAGGAAAGCTGCATGCCTATTGGTTGATGCCCTGCATTCCATTCTGATGACTCATGCCCAAACGTGGTAAACACGGCACACTAACACAGTAATACATTTGCTATAACACAGCCAAAAAACTCAAATAAAACCATTCTAAAAGCCTGTATCACAAAAATTTAAAAAACGCCTAGGGGTATTTGCCCACTGTACCTCCATACCAAATTTCAGTACCTTAGGCCCTAAAATGAAGAAGCTGAATCCATTTTAAAAATGGCAGGAGGAGAAGGAGGAGGAGGAGAAGAAACATCAGAAAAAGCAATATGGGTTCACCACCACTTGGAGGTGTGGTGAACCCATAATAAGAACAATTACAATCGTAGTAAGTAAATGCTGCAAAGAAACTTCGGAAGAATTGTTTAAATTGGTCTCGTAACTACCTGTTCTTCATTTTCTGAAGTGTTGGCGAGGGTATGGGCGATAGACTATCCTGATGCTGAAAATAGATTGTCACGATGATGCAGAGCCCCGCAAAGGCGGTCAAAATAGAACGCGAGTTGCGCCATGACGTCACCGTCTTTCCCGTCATTGAAGAGGACATTTTGACGGTCCTAGACGAAGTGAACACGGGAGAAATAGACGATATCAGACTTCCGGAAAGCATAGAAATCTAAAAATTTACATTTTTGTCTGTTTTGTCTGCCCACAATATTCCAAATATATTAGATACAGTAGTGTGTATCATTGAATATGTCAACGGCATTTCTATAAAGAATAATATTTTTAAAGATGGCATGCATCAAATGCAATTTTAAGGAATGAAAACTAAAAAATATTTTTTATGAGAAATGTCCTTGATATTGACATAAACTACCATGTCGTAGCACATTTTGATACTTGGAGTTTGTAATAGCCCCGAAACAAGCTCCTAATTTTTGGGCGATGAGTAACATCCATAAATACCTGGATCGCGCGCTCTACCAAAACATTACCTTCTTGGTGAAGGTAATAAACTTATAAATCATAAGTTTGATCATTAGTCTATACCTATGTTGATTTGGTTATATTGACTACATCTGCAGCCATGCATTATCGTCCCTTTCTAAAAAAGTTTTCAACCAAACTGTAAATCGTACAAAGCAGCTGTAAAATACGCAAGTATATGCCGTAAATTGTAAAAAAAATATTGGAAAATTGCTTATGTCGTAGAATGCCGAAATTAATTCCAAAGGCAACTCTATTATTCGCCAAACAATACAATACTCGTTTGTTCAACCTTCCTGACCACGTAGATTTCATAAATAAGGCAACTTTTTTTTATTCGCACGCTCACATCAGATTTGGGGTTCCCAAAGGATGCCATCTATGTAATCAAATCAACATGCATGGCTTGATACAGCAAACAGCGTACCTACATGTACACCTGACGAACAGTTTAACCCACTAACTACAAACCTGCTAAACGAAGATATTCTTTTGTTCACTTTGGGCGCAACTTCTACGCGAAGGATTAAAATACGATCTAGAGGAAAAGTCTGCGTGCGAGGGTGTGTGTATATGTGTGCATGCGTGTTGTGATTATGTTTGCTTGCGTATGTGTTTGTATGTACTTTTGTATGTTTTTGTGTTTGTATAAAACGATATCTTCAGCAATACATACAAATTTCAACATTTGAAAGACACATTTGAGACAACAGATAACCTTTGTCAACGTTGATAGGACTCAAATTGTACCACTTTATCATCAGAGGAATAGCTATATCTGTAAAAGAGGACTACATAGCCAGAGGAATGGCTATATTTGTAAAGAAGTCTCGCGGTATTACAGTCAGGGAGCTGGACTTCAGTAAAGAAGGCTTCCAGGAGGGATTATTTCTGGACTGTATATTTAGTGAAACAATCACATCACCATCGGATGCATTTGCAGAAGTCCGTCGGCTAACGCAAATGAGAGCACAGATAAAGCCTGCAACCTTATATCGTCTGTTTGGGGTAGGAGACAGAAGAGACTGGTAATTGTAGGAGACGTCAATATCAAGGAACTGGGACTAGGACAACATGGCCTCCACGGTATTGCCAGCAACCATCATAGCCTATTAAGTCGTTTATTGATTTCATTCGATTTTATTTAATTTATTGAAATTGCAACAGTGCAATACACGCGGAACAGAGGCAGCTGTTGCTGGTGTTGTGTCCAGCATATAGAAACGAATAATGGACAGACAATACTCATTTTCACTTGGGTCTAGTGGAAAAAGTCTTGTAAAGTGCCTTTCCCAAGGGCACAAGATCGGTGGCATGTCAGGACTCGAACCCGGGACCTCTTGACTCCGAGTCGCGCACGCTGCCGTTGCGCCACACGACCCCACTATTGACTGTTCAGAAAACAAGTTTCCGTATGATAGCATGTGAGTGAGCCTACACGTTTCCGGGTTAATCAGGAACCGTCAACATTAGATTTTGTCATCGCCAACGACCTGAATCTAATTGGGGACTTAGAACCAAAAACCTAGGGAAATGAGATCATTGTTGTTTGGTTTTCCCTATTGAAATTGACGCAAGGACAGCTCAACAATCAACAAGAAGGAACTACGATAAAGGACAGTATGCAAAGGCTGGTGATTATTTGCAAGAAAAAGACTGGCAAAGAGAATTGAGTAACTTGGCTAGAGGTCTCTTGAGCAAAAAGGGTTTGAAAAAATTGTCAGAGCTGAATCAGTCGAAGTCGTCCTGACCTGAAAACATGCACCCAAGATTCTTGAAGGAATTAGCCTATCACTTGCGCGTACCCTTGAACATTCTTTTTAAGAAATCCCTAGATGCAGTAAAACTACCGAAGGGGTGCAAGTCAGACCAATCCGTAAGAAATGGAGTAGATAAGCTCGAGGGAACTACAGACCGGTACGCTTGACATCGGCCGTTGGGAAGGTAATGGAATCTATCATCAGAGACACACAGAATGGTTTCGTCATGCATGACGCAACTCCTTGTTTGTATGAAGGCATGGACGAGGTCATTACAGGAGGGAAAGCAGATTAATGTGATATATCTTGATTTCGAGAAAGCCTTCGATACAGTCCAACACAAGAGGCTGATCATTAACATGGAAAGGTATGGAGTGGGGCGAGACTGGATTGAGGACTTTCTGTCTAACAGGAAGCAACGAGTGGTGGTCAATGGGCAGTTCTCCTCATGGAGAGATGTCAAGAGTGGTATCCCACAGGGAAGTATATTGGGACCCATTCTCTTCGTGGTATACATCAATAAATTCCCGGAGTCTGTGACCTGCGCTGCGAAGATATTCGCTGACGACAGCAAGTTGTTTGGGAATGTAAAGCAAGCCAGCAGCATTGAAGCCATTCAACAGGACCTTAACAACGTGGACAATCGGTCAAGATTTTTGCAATAGACCTCATTCCAAATACAGTTGCTATATTGATTCTATTCTCGCGAGAGCACATCCTTGGCGTGAGCGCGCGTGACCTCGCGAGAAAGCGAGTCTTCCGTGAGGTCGCGAATGGTTTGTAGTACGTTCTAACACAGTCGATAGCGATGCTCCAACTTCAACGGTGAGTTTTGCCCGTCCAGTGTAAAGTATTGTTGACACGACTTTCACGGGTAAAGAATGTTGTTGTGGGCATGTGGGATAGATTTAGGCGGGTAGAAATGCATGTTTCTTCCGATTTTGAACAGTTTCGGACGGGCGGCATTGTACATAGCGTATGTGATTTACTTTGTTTACATGTTACGTAAGCACCAAGCGTCAAAAATATCGAGTTTAGCCGGATATATAGCCACAAGAACCTGAAAATGTTGGCACTGGAGTCTTGTGGGTAGAAATTTGTGGAGTGTTCAGGGATTTCTCCGTAGATTTACCGATTATAGCGTCTAATGTCCGACCGCACGTAGAGTGAAACTTTTGTCACTTTGGGGAGGGGGGCGGTTGTTATTCTAAAGTCACCCGTTTATTTGTCGATAGAGATTTACTAGAAAATAACGGTACGAAAACATAACTATACCTTGGTGAGATCCTGCTCGGTAGAAATAGGTCTCTTGAACGAAATTTCGGCGATCGCCCTGAATATTCATCGATTACAACGTCAAAGCGTCCAGTCAGGTTTCTCGCCACTCACGCAGTGTGGGAGAGGCGGAGCATGGGTTTTCTAAACGTCCTACGTTTTTGGAGACGGGGATTGTCCAATGTTTACAATATTATAAGAACATCATAAACAGTGTCTGGATGAGATCCTGGCTTCGGGTGGTTCATGTTCTCATTTCTTTATTTATATTTATGTCTTTGTCTAAAACTTTAACATTTTTAACTCTTTTCAGACGAACACTATACCTGCCCGAAGAGGAAAAGAAATCCAAGCCTGGTTGTACTGCAAGGCTTATGGATGTAATAGTTCCTCATCTGTTTGTGTTGTGTTAATGGGGAGTAGGTCCCATCAGAGATCCCCTTCTTTAATGTGCCAAAAAGGGTACTTGAGGACAAAACATGGCGAAATACTGGGCTTCTCTAGTGAAAAGGGAACTTGGCGGGGACAATTTCACCCTTAATAAAAGTACAGTGTTTTGCGAAAAATACTTCAAAGAGACTGACATTATGAGGCGCACAAGCATGGGTATTCGAATGTAAACTCCAAGGCTCAGGGAAGGTAAGCTTATAACTATATGCCATTACCTTAACCCTACCTAGACCGGGCTTTTCTTGACATGGGGGGACGGGGGGGGGG